TTTTTTTTTTTTTTCGAAAAATCTTCGAAATGTTGAGACATGAGCCAATAAAAATTTAAGAAAAATTCTCTCTTATTTTGATAAATCGACGGATCGAAATCCTATTTCGTAGCAAGTTATCTTTTTGCTCTCGCGAAAGAAATAATATCTCGCGCCACCGAGCGACCGTTACTCGACGGAGCAAATTACTTTTCCCAATGAGAAAGATATCGCTTCCGGCACTTGGCCACGCTACAAACGGAACAACAGTCGCCGCGATTAAGGCGTCGTTAACCGCGCTAACACGGTATATTTGATTTTGCTATCTCTTTGTATCTCTTAGCAAAACGACGAAAATAAAGTTTTCCGCGATAATTTAAAACTACGAGTTTCAGCCACGCTGGAGGAGATTGTTTGTAATTCGTATTCACGAAACGGAATGAGAGGGAGAATGAGGAAGTTTGAAAGGTTTCTTGGTAAGGCTAATCGCTCGGTTAACCCTTTCGTTACTGTGGACAAAATATCCATGACACCGTAGAGTTCTATGGCTCCCAATGGTAGTTTACGATATCCAAAGAGATATTTGTTAGAGAGGTGATTTCTGGGGAGCAATAAAGTTATTTTTAGTATATCGATTTTTGGTGTTTTTTTTTTTATTATTATTATTTTAATATAATCTAAATTATTATTTTAAAATATATAATCTAAATATAATCTAATATAAATAATTTATATAATCTATATAATCTATAAATAATCTAATATAATCTAAATTATTATTTTATTAAATAATTTAATAAAATTATTATTTTAATATTTTATTATAATTATTATTTTAATACAATAAAAAATTATATAAATGATATCATTTTAATATAATAATTAATGTAATTAATTATTATTTTAATATAAATAGATTGTTTTAATTTATTAATGATTTAAAAATAACTTATTTTTTTATAAGTTATTTTTAGAGAGAAAGAGAGAAAGAGCTGTTATATTATTATTATTGGTAGACTTGATATAATGTAAATTATAAAATTATGCATTCTTCTAGGAAAGATTGAATTAAATATTAAGTTTAAATTATACTTTCAAATACTTACTCCTAATATTATGAATGTTATTAGATTCAGAAATTAAAATTTCTGATATTTTTTATTATATCTCTTTATATATTTTATTGAAATTTTTAAAATATATATAAATCCTAGATTAAACGATAAGACCATTAATGGATTTTCTTTATCTCATTAAATTTATCTTATATAAGGACGGATTAAAGAATAATCGCAGATTATTTTTTTTTTTGCAAAGATAAAATTAAAAAAAAAAGTTGGAAAACAATGCTATAAATTATTATTCATTAAATGGTTAATGATTAAATTATTATTTTAATATAATAAAAAATATTCCAATGAAAAACTGAGATTAAGGATTTGTTAGAAATTTTGTCATTGATGATAAATAAAAAGTACGCCATACTTTTGGCAAATTGATTTTTCTTACATTTATTTTATGTAAAAAACCAATTCAAACCAATGATTTAAAAATGTTGAAGATGATTTAACGTTCTTTTCAATTGGAAAACGCGCTTTTTTTTATCGGATGAACGTTGGATAGACGATAGATGGACGTTTTTCGCTACTGTCGACACACCAAACCAGTTCACTCCTTCGGATCGTATTTCATGCTATCGATCGGCTTATCCTATGCACCCTCCTATATATCGCTGGTTGCAAGAATGTTCATCGAAACGATATCGACGAGAATGCATCTCTCTAATTAATAATAGACTTTGAGCGTTGTTTCACAATGGTTTATTTTAATTTTTTGCGGATTTCGTTGTATTTAATTTAATTTTATTTTATTTCTTACGTTGCAATAAAAAAGATATCTTATATTATTACACATAATATTATAATTATATTATTGTAATTATAATATAATAATAAAAATTATGTTATATGTAATAATATTGTTACATATTACATATAATAATATAAGATAGAATAGAATTATGAGATGGAGAATAAAATAATATTTACCTATATTAATGAGGTTTGATAAAATGAAGATTATGTCAGCTTTTTATAACAAATGTATTTTTTTAAAGAAATTTTATTATATTAAAATAAAGAATTGTTACATGTTTATTTAAGCGAATTTTATCACGATTTATTTTATGATTTTCAAAAAGAAAAAAGGATGATAGTTTCAAAATATTAATGGAGATTTGAAGTATTTTTGATATTTGATATAATAATCAAATGATGAATATATAAAATGGTTAAAATTTATTAACAAAATAATCAAATAAATTATAATGATTCATTCAAATATCATGAACAAACTTAAAAAAAAAAAGTGTAATTCGAAGTTACTATTCAATAGTTATCATATTTATGGATATTATGATTATAAAATATTTATTTCGATTTTTAATTCTCAATTAAAAAATCACAAAACCGAAAATGAAATTCTTTCTTTTTCTAAATTTTTTTACATTAATTTGAAGAATCATGCTTTAAATTTTTGAATACTTGTACTTCAATATCTTATGTATGCACCTATACATACATTGAAGGCAAGACGATGGTCGAAATTTGTGATTTATTCGTGCATTTCTATTTGCCGCTACTGGAACGCATAATCCACAAGAATGCGAATGCGAGACGAATGCGGCAGAATGGAAAGCCACGTGAAATCGCGTTAACTAATCCAAACGTGGCCCCCACGTCGCAAAGTTACACTCGATTAACCCTTCCGCCATGGCAACTTGAACTTTGTCTCGACCAAGTTTCTTGTTGGCGTAGAAATCTCTTTATATGCATCTTGTTTGCATATAGAGAGGTTTATTTGTTATATTTATGGTTTGAAGAAAATCCTTTAATGTAACAGAAGACAATAGAAAAAATAAAAACATGAAGCTACACAAAGTGCGAAAATAAAGCAAAATAGAAATATTGTATAAAAATTAAAAATATTTCTAAATATATGCATACATTTTTTTTTAAGTATATTAGAATTATACCATATTTTTAAATAATAAAATTAAAAGGTGAATGAAAATCTTTCAATTTCAC